GAAAAACTAATTCTGGGAATGTCATTTTATGGTTTTCCACTGTAAATTATAGGATTACTTCTTTTTCACCTCCAAAAACTGTTAATTCAACTGTAAAATTACACAAAGTGTCTTGTTACTTGAAATGTACTTGCTTTTAATCTGCTGGGATTGGACCATGACCAGGGGCGTCACTAGGCCCTTTTTAGGGGGGCTTCAGCCCCCCTAAACTTCTGCCAAGCCCCCCTAAAAATGTGAGATTAATGTAGGCTACACAAATTCGTGTTCGCTTCAGTCTTGTTATAATCAGATTCAGCACGTTCTCAATCCACAGCTGCGCCGTGCAGAGAGCACGTCAGAAACAGAGGACAGGGTGTGTGTGTTCATTTGTGTGTTCATCTGAGCCTCATTGGTCTGTCACTGCTCGTCAATGTCAGAGACGACCAATCAAATCAAAGTAGGCGGGCTTTATGTTCACAGACGCTGCTGAGCGCGAATTTTAACAGTGCGAGTGCGACACGACCATTTTTTACAGTCTATGGACTCGACGCGTACGGTCAAGTGCGAGATAAGATGTAAGTAGCTAAACTTAACATTTCATATTTTACTTTTTTTAGGTCATAAATGTTAAACGAATGACAAAAAATAATCAGGCAAACTAATATAGTTTTGTCTAATTTCGCCATTTTGAACTGAAAATAGGCCTATACACTCATATAACTCATGTAATGTAATAATTAGTTTACAAGAAACATTAACAAAGCCGTTTTCATCATGTTAGGCACAAGATTAATAATGAATGTGTACATATTGAGAATATAATACGACCTCTGTGATTATAAAGCCCTGTCTACGGCCCTGTATTAGGCATAAGATCAATAATAAATGTGTAGCCTACATATTGTGAATGCATTTAATAAACTTAATTACCTTTAGTAGCTTTCAGTAAATAAACGCGTCTGAGAAAATGATTCATAGGCAAAATCAACCTATCACCCTATGTTTACTTTCTTCACTGACAGACAAAAATGAAAAGCCTATATCAGTCAAAGCTCAGCTTTAGGAGGGGAAGAGACAGGGCAAGAGAAAAACAAAGAGAAAAAAAGTGATGCTGCTGATGAGGAGAGAAAAATTGTCAGCTGCCCACTATCCAAGTTTTTTGGCCTTCAGAACATCTTAAAATGCACATATGTAGATCAGAGAAATCAAAATTTTCTCGGGGAGACCCCGAACCCCCCTATTTGCCCTGCCTCACATTTGGGACCACAGTTATTATAAAACCGTGCCTTTGCATCGTAATGAAAATGGTTAATAGTGATCTTTAGATCCTAAACTAAAGTGTTACCTTTTTTTATAATTTGTTTAAAAATCATATTGGGGGCTTAGCCCCCCTAAAATGAAAATCCTAGTGACGCCCCTGACCATGACATGAGGTTGGAGGGGAGCTGATACAAATTTGTGTGTAGGCTAAGTGTATTAAGAAAGTAAATTGGGTCAATTTTCTTTTCATATTGTCTTTTTAAGTTGCTAAAGCAGGAATACATGTTCCTACAGTATGTTGCAGAAAAAGAGAAAAGTTAATAATGATTAAGATGTTGTTCTTTAAATATTACATTGTAATAAAAATATGAATTAGGGTTTATAGTTCTATAGAATGTTAAATGTAATCGAGAGAAAAAACGGCCTGTTAAGTTGCAATATTAAGATATAATAATAATTAATTTTGCTTTAATCGGCACTCAAACCGCTATAGAGGGGGGAATCTCCTCAACCACCACCAATGTGCAGCATCCACTTGGATGATGCGACGGCAGCCATATTGCGCCAGAACACCCAACACACACCAGCTGGTGGAGAGTGATGAAGCCAATTAGTATATATATATATATATATATATATAAGAATGATTATAGGCCATGGTGGACAGAGGCCACTGGGCAAATTTGGCCAGGATGCCAGGGTAACACCACTCTTTCGAAAGACATCCTGGGATTTTTTATGACCACAGAGCTCGGTTTAACGTCTCATCTGAAGGACGGTACTCTTTGACAGTATAGTGTCCCCGTCACTACTCTGGGGCGTTAGGACCCACAAAGACCACAGGGTGAGCGCCCCCTGCTGGCATCACTAACACCTCTTCCAGCAGCAACCTGGTTTTCCCAGGAGGTCTCCCATCCAGGTACTGACCAGGCTCAGCTCTGCTTAGCTTCAGTGGGCAACCAGTCTTGGGCTACAGGGTGATATGGGTTGGTGATATGGCTGCTGGCTGATATAAAAAGCTCCTCTCTAGAAATGTGTTACTTCCACTGGGTGACACTAGTTGCTTGCTCCATTGTGCTCTACCGAAAAAACCGCAGGAATTCAACCTGTCCGTTCTGACTGTTTGCTAGCTATGACCTCTTTTTTGTCATGAATTTTAATGAGGGAGGGCCGTTCTGTCGCATCAGTGTAGTCTGCATCAGTTCTCCATCTGGCCCGCTGAATAACACGCATCATTTCCCACGTGGCGGCAGAAAATAAAGATGTTTTTCTAGGGGACGAGGTTCTACAAGATCTTCTGAAACAGGCTCTAATGAAACATGATGTTCATTTAACCATGTACATAACACTGTGGGGGAGAGTGAGTTGCACCCGCTGGTAGTGTCGTTTATTTGCGTAAGATGTTTTCGTCGCTTTAACACCTAATTCACTGAAGGAATTATGCAAAATAAATCCGACAACAGTGAAAATCTGTGCTGACCTCAAGTTGCATGGCGCAATCTTGTCCCTTAGACTGAGTTGTGGGTGGTTAGTGAGTTTCACCAAAATAATATAGTTATGGCGGGGTACTTCATCAATGTACGTCTATGGTATTTTTTTGCAGAAATCATTAATCGGAGGGTTTAGCACAGATCTCCTCAATTCTCATTATTCTGCAGAACGAGTTACACTTTAAATAGATACTGTTAGTGGTTTGTTCAGATCTATAACCCTAAAGTATAAACAATAATATGCTTTTGCAACAAAAAAGAAAAAGAAAAACATCAATGATCAGAAACAGAACTGGTTGTATTTCTAGTGGTGTACATAACATCCATGCTTTAAATATATTCATGATTTTGACCTTTTTGTTTTTATTCTTCCTCCTGGTCTTGGAAAAAAGAGAATGCAGTCATTTTTTTTTTGTATACAGCTGACATACAGAGCAGAAATATGAAGCATTTAAGGTCTTTATCGGTTTTTCACTCCCTCGTACAGGAATGATCAAGTGTGAGCCGCACTGCCTGACTGAGTACAGGACTCAAGGGATTGCCGCCTGACAAGATGTTAAGCAGAGCTGTCCAATCTCTCTCACACACACACAAACACACACAGTCTAGAAGTAAAAGGTTAAGTCACATTTGCACCCAATGGACTGCTATAATGCACATAAATCACCCTTGAGACATGCAAGCTGCTTTAGTTTCAGATTTCATTTGCATTTGCTCCAGTCCGTGATGTCTTTGCTATCTGCAATTAACATTAAAGCAATATCCAGAAGCTTTTATAGCAAAGGTTTGGTACTTTAATCTCTAAATAGATATTGCTCATTTCTAAAATATATGTGAATGGTGCTTGCACATGCAAAACCCATTCTGGATGGTTGTTAAGGCATTGCTAGGTCCATGCTTAAGTCGCAATGAATGTCATTCCAAATGCATTTTCTTTCCTCTGCAGAACAAAAGTTATGCCATGACAACTCTCAGAGTGTTTGACATGATAATGGATATGGCAATGCTGATGTGTTTGGTCTTGGCGTAACAGATCTGCTACGCTGCTGCTGTTATTGCTGGTGCTGCAGAGCAAGTACGGGATTTGCTACTTGCCAATACATACACGACACGCTGCTGTGAGCAAGTAAGACATGCTGCTGCTTTACAATATAGCGTACATGAATTACCCGTAGCAGATCTATACAGGTGGAGCTGGGGGAGGTGGAGGGTTCCTAAAAGTGCGCTGCACTGCTAAGGCAAATCCAATGACCAGTGAAGGTTGAGCACACAAGCTCATTGGTTACTGATGCAGCAGGAACCAATCAGCTGTGCCCTATAGAGAATTATGTGAATGTACAACCCGACCTCACGGCAATTCGTATGTATTTCACGAGGTGGCTAACTCGTACGAATTTGTAAGATTTTTGCTAAATCGTACATATTTTACGAGTTGCCCAATTCCCCTGACCCCGCCCCTAAACCTACCCATCACAAGGGTTTAGACAAATCGTACGTATTCGTATGACCCCACACAAATTCGTACGAATTGCTCGTGAGATAGCATTGGAATGTAAGCAGGTTGAGGGGAGGAAATATTAGCCTGCGTCATCAAGACAACTATATAGGCTATATTTTGAAGACAAAACAACATTGGACTTTTATTGTGTGTGCACACACAAAACAAAAAACATTTCAAAAGTCATAGAATGGCATAAGGGTGAGTGTAAATGGTGATAGTATTTTACTTTTTGAGGGAATGATACCTTAAACCACCTTTCACTGCTTACGAATACGATAAACAATAGACAGTCGTTTCAAATGAAAAGTTGCATGGAAAAAATGTGGAGTTCTGACTCAATTTGATCAGACTTTATCTTAAACACCTGCTATATCTGTAGAATGGACAGTTATAAAAATCAGAAGTAGGTGAACAGTTTAACACTAACATGTTTCATCACATTTTGGCCGCCATTTGTCTTATATGGGTCACCGTTCGTTCATCATACTGTATACATTACTATCAACACTCCTTGACAGTAGCTAATACTGATGCATGCTATAGTAAACACCACTAATGAGTGTAATCAAACTGTTTGTTTTTGATATTACCGACAAACTTTGACCTATACTGCAGATCAATTTGAATATAACATTAACCTACATTCACTACAGCTCAGACTGTTACCTGAATCCTCAGAGACTCAGAGAGAGAGAGAGAGAGAGAGAGAGAGAGAGAGAGAGAGAGAGAGAGAGAGAGAGAGAGACGCGAGCTTGAATACAAATCAGGCTCCCCGTTGCGCACACGCGCATTCTCTGCAGCCGCACTGGAGAGCTGCGGTTGAGGTGACGATTTAATCTCTCACGCCTCATTAAGCAGGATCCGCCTGTGCATGCGAGTGCGGTTTACACACAGACCGTGAGCGCGTCTGCATGCGCTAATGTGAGGAAACACTCCACGAGAAAAAAAAATCCTGTGTGGGTGGGAGGACAGAAGGAAGGACGAAGAGAGGAAAGCTGGATCGGTTCACAGGAGCTCCATGGCAAACGCGCGTAATGGCCACTGCATAGGAATCTATCCATCGTGACGGCTGCAGGGTGTGAAGTAAGTGGATATCCATTTAATTGTGCATACGAACGCTTCTGGTCAGCGTTACGCGAGGGTTCTTCCATTGTGGACGGTTCATGGCTGTAATTTTACGGCGAGTGTGACCGCTTTGGAGTGAATCACCCTGGATGCATGAGTGATGTTTCCTGTCCCATATCGCTGGAAATCAGAAGGACATGAAGAAGGAGGGTGGGGGTGTGTGGTATTCCCCAAACGCTAGCTCTAATTACCCTGTATGGCAAAATCCCTTTAGGGTTTTACGCTCTTATTGCCTTCGCATATACATCCCCCACCTTTAATAGCTTGAAATTGCGATGCTGCCGGATGATGCATGTGGTGATTTGAAACGTGCGTGTGTTTTGGTGGTGCTCGAAACCCAGAGACACGAAATCAATGATTGACAGAGCGACAGACTTAGACACGTACAGTAAACAGTGTAATCCAGGTGCTTACAACAACAGCGCGCCAGCAAGAGGATTACGCGCTTGAGCATGTGTTTTATTACTGTTGGGTTGGATAAATCAAGGAATGCTGAGAAAAGGGCGAGAAAAGAGACAGAATAAGTCGTGCATGGTATATGTTTTTGAGTTTCATTTGTGCATGATGTATAAAGGAATGATAGTTATGGGATAGTTCCCCCAAAAATGACAGTTCTAAAAACCTTTCTTGTGTGGAACACAAAATAAGATTTTTTTAACTATATCTCAAGTTTGTCTGTTTTTGTTTTTCCATGCACTGAAAGTAAGTGCGGTTCATATTTGGTTTGGACCCCAAATATCTTCTTGTGTGTTCTGCCGAAGAAAGATATGCATAGAGGTATAGAGCAGCATGTATTTTCTGTTTCCATTGAGTGGCATAAATCCTGCATCATTTAGGCTTAGACATATATTTGTTGATGAGAGGTGAGCTATTACTTTTCTAAGCAATATAATTGTTTTCCCTTGGTGGGATTTATGTTGTTGCCCTCTTAAATATCATAGACACTCTTTTGACTAAGCAAACACCTGGCAACCACCCAAAACAGCCTTAAGCCACCAGCTAGCAGTCAAGTCTACCTTGTTCTGTAAAACTCTTGATTAATTTCCATGAAATGGAATTCTTTTGTGATGTATATATTCGATTGAAAAACTTTAGGGCAGGACTTGATTTAGTCCATGGGTAATTGATTGGCTGGTTAGATGGTTGTGGTTTGCTATTGGTGGATCTCATGAGAGTGACATGTTTTCCCGCCCTCACGCCAGTGAACACATCATCAGAGAAGAGATGAGCTGCAAGAGAGGGAGAGGAAGTGATTTTGATTAAAGATTACAAGGGCACATGAATTTAAAAATAATGATGTGCACGGATAAATAATTTACTGCATAATAGATATTGCAATATTCCATATTTCATGGTGACTTTAAGGTAAGACTGTAAATAAACACACATATGCATCTTGCAGGACTTTTGCCGAAAGGAGTGGGACCAGGCAAAACCTGCTAGTGGGAAAAACAGACTGTAGGAATTACTGGAAAATGTGTTCCATATTTACATTGCATATAATTTTACTAAAAATTGCTGACAATAATGTGCAAAATGGCACGTATGCATGCTTGTCTTTTCAAACCATGTCTCTCTTGTCTTTTGTAACTTGTAAATGTCAGTTTGTATTGGTGAAGACAAGTAATGCTCTATTATAAGCTAAACACATTGTGGAGAATGTTTTGTTTTACTTTTCACCATCCTTTAATAACAATCATTCTGAACGCTAATGTAATATGAAAGCTGATTCAGACTGTCTGTATTTTCACACATGAACCATAATGGAAAGTCAGGGCAAGCTTTGCATTGTAATGGAGTTGGTCTAATTGAAGCTCGAGTGTCCTCTGAGGATATACTGTAGCAGCCTAATCTCGATTTGGTCATCCAGAAACCCTCTATCTCTAGAAAAGCCCTCCTTTGTGAAGTGGCTCTTTCAGCATAATGTATTATTTTAGTCATTGCCTTTGTGTTTGTTTGTCAGCTTGGCTCTGTAGATTGTATGACACACATGAGTTAGTCATACAGAGCCAGACTTTTGACTATCAACAAAGTCTGGCCAACTTTGCAGCTTATCCTGACCAAAACCGGCTCATTTAGTTGCAACACAATCATATGATTTGCATGGAAATATAATTTAATATTTTTTCGATGAGATACAAACATAAAATAAATATATATATATATATATATATATATATATATATATATATATATATATATATATATATATATATATATATATATATATATCTTAAGGCTTTTTAAACTGCTTTTTTTTTTTAAATAACACTCAAAATCTGTCTTAACAAACATTGCATTTCTAGTTACTAGTTAAAAATTAGTTCAACTGTCATACAGTACACACACACACAGAGAAAGAGAGAGACTATGTAATTTACCATAAAAAATGAACTAACCTGCTTGAAAATTGCTCATTGTATGAAATTGGTACCTTGTAAGCTTGTCTTTGTTTCCAAGCAAACTGACAAAAACTCTAAAGAACAAGAGCAGCAGGATTCTAGCTAACAATTTTCACTACGATCTTGCATTTGTTGTGTGTAAAACGCAACAGACGGTCCGTAATGTGTGCATGTAGGCTGAAGGTGTCTGAGTCTAAACATGAGTGGACCATATGCTCTTCCAGACACTTTACCTACATCATTTCTTTCAAGCTTCAAGCATCTACATAATTATCAAAGCACATGTTAACATTTAACCAGAGAGACCCAATTTGTTCTTAAACCTGCTTCCAGGTTGTTTACAGTTATATTTAGATGAATTTACCCCTGGAGTCCTACATTAGAGCACGTCCCTCTCATGGATCGTGCACTTCAGCTTTCTTTTTCCTCAAAGACATTAAAACGACACATGGGCCGAGTTTTTTAGAAAAACCTTCCAGTGTTGCCCAGCAACGAGGAAAGGTTTCAAAAAATGCTGGGCTCCTTTTTTTTTCCAATACATTATCTGAGGACTCGCACACTGACAGATGTAAAATGTTGACCGCTCCACCGCTGTGAGCGTAAGGCACACTAAAAGCGGAAGCGTGTACTAGATGCTTTCTGTCGTTGGGCTTTAGTGCCTGGCTTCATGTGATATTCATTTCCCTGTCCTGAACTCAGAGGTTTACAGTGTGATGTTGAACAGGCCAACTGACAAAACGCTGCTCTGTGGTTCACGGTCCAACGAAAGCCCAGTCCTAGAGAGTTGTTGGTAGGTTTAGACCAGTTAATATCCCGAAGTAAATGGGACTTTGTAACTACTAATTAGATTGTAAGCTGCTAAAAATGGTTGCACCTTCTGATTTTAACACAATAGTTAATCTTGTAGGTCATAAGCTCTCTGTAAAGGAATGAGCAGTCACTTAATATGGCATCTACCTTAATTGATCCAATAAGCGGCCTTAGTTTGTAAACAGCAAGTCTTGTAGTATTTCAGTTTGTCAATTTATACTTTAAAAATCCTTTTTGGGTCATGTAACTGTCAGTGGTAATACAATACATTTCTATAAAGGATACACAAGAACAGGAAATACGATAAATAATAAATCATGAAACAATAAATAGCATATTTTAATATGTAAATAATAAATATTTTCCATTGCTGGTTTGGGGGATGTTTTTGTTTTGGAGATCAGTCACTGGCAATTCATATAATGGCCACAGTTTTAAAACATAACTGAGCCTGAAAAAATCAGCCTTGTTGGTGTGTCTCAAGTTGGATTAATTAATCACACATCAAATTTGGCTGAGAAATTAAAGGCACGCAGTATTAATACAAATACATTAGCTAAAATAATACGTTTTTAATAATGTCTGAGTTAATACTTGTTCAAAACAATCACTTTGCACTATTTTCTGTTTACTTTGATAAATAAAATAATTAGTTTTTTTATTTTAATACAAAAATGTATTTTAAAAATACATCAAATTATTTTAAAAAGTAAAATATTCTGAAAGCATTGAATGAGATCCCATAATGATTTAATTGAGATTTACGGTAGTAACATGAAATCACGTTTTATTATATGATCATGTTTTTAAATATGATGGTTTCATTCAAAATATGGTGATTATCTCTAAGGTGGACACCCGATTTGATATGTATGTAATATTTACTATATGAATCTAACCATGTCATGTCAATAAATGGAAAAGACAGCCAGATATGTATTATCATGTTAATTATTGTCCTTTCACCTCAACAGCAGATGCCCTTTTTTACCCCAAATACCATACGTTTATATGTGTTTGCTTTAGGCTCCATCTCTTTTTCTTTTCTTTTTTTTATTCATTCAAGAAACAGAATGCAAATATACAAACACCTTCAGGAGAACATAAGAGTTCAAAAAACCATTTGTATGTAAAGTCATATATCTAAAGGAAGTAATAAGAATCGCTTACATGTATATGAAGAGGACAAATAAAAGAAAAGGGATAATGAGAAAAATTTAAGATTAAGCACCATACATTTTTATAGAGAACAACACTAAGTTTAAGGCTCCAAGTTATTGCATCATGTTAATGTTTCGTTTATATATCATGCAAGAGAGTTAGCCTAGATGTACAAGGACAAATGAGTTATTGTAATGGAGTTATTGAGTTTTCTAGCACCTGACCTGTTCTTTCTTACTCTCTCTTTCATGTGTGAAGACTAAAGTAGGAGTGCGAGAGGAGTGCAAGAGCAGAAAGAAGAGGGATCTACAATGGCGGCAGAAGAGAAGCCTGCAGTGAAGAGCAGTAGCTCCATTGTACCATGTTTCCTGTTTGTAGAGGTGAGTTATCAGAAAAAAAACATTAATAATCCTCAACCCTGACTATAATTAGGACTTCATCAGGAACGTTAATGAACTCTCAATGGGCCTGCAGTGAAAATATGAGGTTATCATGACCTGAAAGCTCAGATCAGCACCATCAGTGGTGTTATTGACATGGAGAAAGGCTGCACATCAACAATTCACTTAGTATTGACTGAATTCAGCTTCACTTTGAAAAAAACAAATGAGTAATAATAAATGCATCTAGTGAAGCGTGGAGGAAGAGTGTCATTGTGTGAGGAGTCTTTTTAGCTGCTGGTGTTGGTGAGATGCTTCACTGTGAAAACTCATTAAATGCTTTGGAGTACATGAGAGTATCGCAGAAAGTGAAAAGTTGTTATCCAAAGAGGAATTATCAGATGTTATTTTTCAACAAGCCAATGCTCCTGCGCACAAGTGTCTTGAGAACAAGTACACCAGTTTTGGCCTGTCAGAGTCTAGATTTGAACCCTGTACTGAATATTTGGTCTCACGTTAAACTCAAGGTGAGGAAGGCTATTCTGTTACTTTGTCTACAGTATTTGTGCAATTCTTGCTAATTTCCTGACCTGTGATTTGTGATTAAAATGGCGAAGACCGTTAAAAGACCACTAAATATTTAGCCATTTTTGGATTGGCCTTTTTGCTGCCAAGGAGTGTATATTAATAAATAATTTATGTTAGATATACATATTTAAAAACATTTTAATGAGATACTTCAAAGAGCTGCAAAATACAGCAAAAACAGCGATATTGTAAAATATTGTTTTCTATTTGAATAGTAAAATATAATTTATTCCTGTGATCAAAGCCGAATTTTCAACATCATAACTCCAGTCTTCAGTGTCACATGATCCTTCAGAAATCATTACAATAGTATAGGGGAGAGTGGGGTAAGATGAGCCAGTGGGTAAGTTGACCCACCCCCTTTATCTTGGCAACTGTACACTTTTATGGTCATTTGATCATATATTTTAGAATCACCCATCTTTTCTGTCATACTGTAAAAAGGAGATTGTTACATCAAAGCAAATTTGTTCTAAAAATTTTTATGATCCATATTGATGATTTAGCAATGTATAAAACCATCCAAATATTAAATATTAGTCTGAATTGGTAAGCTGGCTAGTTTTTTTCCAAAATGGCAGCTATGGGGCAAAGTGAGCCAAATGATGTGGGGTCAATTGAGCCAGTATTTTAACTTACACCACCATAAGGCACTGTAGTTAAGTTAAATCTATGAAATATATACTGGTATACTATCAATTTAATATTACACAAACGTTTTTTTTTTTTTTTTTTTTTAGTTTAGTTGATAGGAACAATGTACAAGTACACCAAATCCTTTTCTGATAAGAACCAGAAGATGCTTAATCATCTCTATTTGTCCAACTGTAGTCCCTAATGGCCTTACATGTTCGACATTGCAGAAAAACTACCATGCCAAGTGGCATTTGTTCATTCATTCTAATTCAGTTTTTATTTAGTTTTACTCAACAAACTCTCTGTTTAGTCTGTTTTTGGGAAGGTTACAACTTGTGGTTACAAGGTGTTCAACAAGTTGTTTAAGAACTGCAAACAATTAAAGATATTGACATTTCAACTTCATTTGGTTGGTTTTATGTTGTTTAAATTATCTTTATGAAAAGAAATAGAATGATTTGTAAAAGGAAATTGGATTATTCAATTCGTTTTTAAAAGGGAATTGGATAATTTGATAGTTTGAATCAGATTCATTTAGATGGTTAGTTTACACCCAGATGGTGCAACTTACCCCCCTGACTCGGATCAACTTACCCCTAACCTGGGGCAAATTGAGCCACATGAGCACTTTTTTATAAAAGGCCATATTTTTAGAAACCTTTGTCATAGATGCAGTCTGACAATTTAAAATGATAGGAAAGATTCTAAATTACTTTATACACTTTTAGTACACTTCTACCTCATTTCCCCTTATCTTGAGGACCACATAATAATAAAAAATGGCTCATCTTACCCCACTATATATATATGAGAATTTTATACATTTATAATAACGTTTTATTAAATGATTTCTATGATTCAGAACATTTCATGAAGAATAGTTTTCAAGTCAGTTCTAAATGTCAAGTTTCTTCCATTCTTTGTTTTCCTGAAGGATGGGAGGATAATGGACTGAATTGTTTTTGTGTGTGTTATTGTGTGTGAGCTCGCGCACTAACGTTGCGTGTGCATCACAAACACATCACGACACTTGCCTCCGCTGTTGTTACTATGGAGACCAATCAGCTGGATCTGGATCCCGTCTCTCTGTTATCATTTTTAGATTCTCTCCCCCACACGTGTAAATCTTCTCTATGCTGCTGCCTTCTGCTTTCCTCCAGTGATTCACCCGCTCATGCATTCACAGGCAGATCCAGTGTGCTCTTGCAGAATGCATGGATGATTATTTGATAAGCCACATTGATTTTTTTTCATGTAGCACATTCAACTACTGCTATGACTCACTTTAGCAAGGCGAAGCATAAAGCATGGAAGCTGCGAATGTGAAAGAACTATAACAGCCAGTTACACAACTCAATGGAAGGGTTCTCTGAATGTGTGTGTGTGTGTGTGTGTAAGTGTGTGTGAGAAAGAGAATCTGTTATTCAATTACAAATGTTCAATGAAAAATGTCAATTTACGAAACACAAAAGGGGAAATTTCGAAGAATGTTCACGCTGCTCTTTTTCACACTATGAAGCTGAGCAGGGATACTTTTTAATATATGATGACAGAATTCACAGTTTTATGAAATTGTTACCTTTGCCTCTGTAGGTTTGTGATGCTGAATGAGAAATTTGTTTCGCATCTCCTATAAGATCCAGCAGAGGGCGAACACTGCTGCGCTTCAGTGAACTCTAGGTGGAATTTGTAGTTTATCTATGGATCTGAAGGTTTGTTTGCATGTCTCTCTGGGTCTGATTTGACTAAATGTCCACAAAGACAGTCAAGTAAACCCTGATATATCAGCTTGGTATGAGGAAATTTGATGGAAATGGTTTAAAAAGGTGTCTTAAAGACATTAAATGCTGTGGTTTTCTATGGAAAAAAGCCTAACGATGCATCATTAATAAGGTGTATTTTGAATTTGGTCTTTTAACCCTTTAGCTGTCACCCCCCTTTTTGAGCGTTGACGTGAAAATGCACTACCCAAACTTAAACGGTTGTAATTCATGAAGCCTTTGTACTAAAGACTTATGGTTGGTCTCTTTTAAAAGAAGACTCTTGGCAGATTATTGCTGAAGTGGAATAAATTAATAGAATTAAATTATTTAAAAGTTATTGAAGTTTAAGTTTATTGTTATGAAAATATAATAAAATATATATTTTTCTTTTATTAAAAATATATATAAATTAATATAGGTTTCAGCCTAAAAATGACAGAAAGTCAAAACCATATATCTAACCAAGTTGTGTTCCAAATTTGAAGTTGATGTCACAAACATTGAAGTTCCCATGAGATTTTGTTTAGGCGTAATACCAAAAATACCCACCGGGTGCCATCGCATTCCATTGAATTTAATTGTATGCATTCTGCCATAACAAATTAATACATTTCTATCCACATATCACTTCTGTCACTAAATATGTAACCTTGAGACTCAGATCTTTCTGACAATATGTGTTTTTTCAAGATTAGAACATTTTTGATAATAAATTATGACAGATGATGCCCAAAAGGGGAGGGGCCTAATTAAAAAATACCGTTTCTATGGTAACACAACGTCCAATTTCAAAACGGTTTTCACAGGATGAATTCTGAGTTCTTAAGCTTTCAAATGATACCTAATTTATGATAACTACTAAAATATGTGATATAATAATAATAAAATATATATATATATATATAATATATATTATACTTTTTAGAGGACTTTTTACTTTACTTTTTAAAATATAATTTTATCTTTTTTATTGACAAATACAAGATTATGTTTTATTATGAACTTTTAGCATTAAAAATCAAAGTTTCAATTATTAAAAGTGTGTGCGTCAACTTTTTGTGACAGTTACAAAACTCCTGTAATGACGTCGATTTTTTGAGGCGCACTCTTGTCATAAATTCATATATTACTGTTCATACATAATTTGTAAGAAAAAAACAGCGCTAAAATATCTATTAAGGAGGCTTAGACCTTTCCAACGATATATAGTTTGTCATGACTAGATTAGGATGTAATAGTAATATAGTGAAGTAAATTTAGGTTGCCCGTATACGGGCAGGTGACAGTTATTAATATCACTGTCTTACTACATTAGTACTTAGCACAAACCTATAAGTGTGTGACGTCACGTATGAATAAAAATCAAGGTTCTTTATAGGCAATATACCTTCGATATACATTTGAAAAGGGTTCTCACACTAAGAAAAAAAAAATTATTTTAAAAGCTGTTTACTGAAATCTTACCCAAAATGGTTCTTTAATGGCATCGCTGCAAAAAGACAATTTTTTTTTCAGAAACTTGATTTTTAAGAGTGTACATGCAGAAGAAAACCCCATCTCCATCTTTCTCCTCATGGGTGGGTCTTTGGAAGCGAATGGCCCTAAGCGATAGCAGATCTGCTCGACTACAGTCTCTCTGGCTCCTTTGATGGCAGCGTAGAGATCTACAAAGGCACAGGAAAATGAAAGGAATAAAAATGTATTTTTTTAAACGAGTTCGACACTTGAACTGGCGGGTCACTGATGAGTGTTGTGAGAGCTGAGCGGTTTGACTCAGTAGGACGATAAAAGACTAACAGCGGGAAGGCAGAGGAACAGTGTTGCTCTTGACGAATTAAAGAATAGTTACGGAGACTTGTAGAAAGGGAGGACATGAAGGGAGGATGGATAATGTGTGTTTACAGCTGAGACTTCACTGCACACTCGCACAAACACAGACTAATAACAGACTGATGTTGCTTCTGTAGTCTCTTAACAAGCTGTTAATTGTGATGCAACAACAAACATCTTGAA